AAAAGCAATTATTTTGTTAAAACAAATAGAAAGTTCTTTAAATCATTTAAATTGAACGCTTATTTCTCTCAAAAACTGTCATTTTTTCCACATTTAGCTCTGTATCTTCGAACTGGTTGGACTGGCCTTTGCCAAAAACTAATCACCACTTCTCCCAGTCATTACAAATTGAATGTTTTTTGGATAATCCAAATCGGATACTCCGTTCTTTAAAAAACTCGATTTCTATTTTTTGCACTCTTTGCCAAAAACTAAGCAGCACACCTCCCAATCAATAGAAATCGAATGTTTTTTGAACCATTCCAATCGGGTGATCCGTGAGCCCGAAAACGTAAACAAAAATTTGCGGACACACAAAAAAACACACACACACACACATATCCATTTTTTCTGAGGTATGTCAATATGTTCAAAAACATCGGAAACGTGAAGATATGCAAAAAAAATGTTTTCGATTATTGGCCCATTACTATAACTTGTACAAAAGCGGTATTGAGGCTGACATACGCAGACAAAAGACTCAGTCAAGGATGCCAAATGCATTTCCTTTTCTATACCAAATAGTACATACATATACTTTGATCTCGAACGATTCAGAATGGTTTAAAACGTCGAGAAAACATAGAATTAGCAAATCGGATTTCTGGCAAAAAAATAAACATCTCTTTCACTATGTTAAAAACATTAAAATTTCATTGTAAAATTCAAAGTCATTTACACAAGTAGCACAACTATAATTTTATTACGTTTAGAATAAAAATGATATCATCAAATTGCAGTTATTTCAGCTACTTCGAGTTCTTACAAATCAATCGAAAACTGCATATGTTTCATATATTAATTAATCTTAGAAAACCATATTAACTTCTTCTATTAGGTTGGGTTAGGTTTTAAATACAATTTTAAATATATGATTGCCAAGGTGTATTGCCAACTTCAATAACAAAATTTGTTTAAATTTGGACTACGTCAGCAAATCTGAAAATTCAATTGAAGTTAAGTTAAATCCGCAATTTTTAAAGCTTTTACAAAAAAGCTTGCTAATTTTATATATTTTCTATGTTTCAGGTAATTCTAAATAGTTTACAAAATTAGAAAAAGTATGTGTGTGAATATGAGAGGCGAATTTGACTTTTCGGCGACCTTTCCACAAAAACGGTTGGACAGTTTCGAATTTTTTTAAAAATATTCGATTAGGACTTGCGTCAGTTTAGTTTAAGGCGGCGATCGGTCAAGCCTTTTCTTCATAATTAGCAGAAAAGAACAGAATTTTTAATCCATGTTTTATCTAAATTCAGCCTCCTGTTCAAAAACTGTTCAGGAGATACAGTTGAAAATCGTGCAGCTTTTGGATACAGATTGGTCGAGCGATTCTTCGTAATCAACTGTTGAAACAATTTTTTTTGACGATTTTTATGAAACTCTTTATTATGTTAAGGTTCATGATTTTAAAACATTCAAAAATATTAAGGATTAGACAAATAAAAAACGCAAATAATCAAAATTGTATTGTAGCACTTCTAAACGCTGCTAAATCTGATTTATCATTATAAATCCGATTTATCAATATCGGGAAGTTAATGTAACTTGCCTTCAGGCAAAATGCTACTTAAATCTTAGTAATTGCAAAAAAATCGAAAATGAAAAGTTTTAAAGGTTTCTGGAAATTTTGGCATACCTTATAAATAATGGATGTATGAGTTGTGTGTATTTGCGTGTGTGTGTATTTGCGTGTGTGTATTTGCGCGCGCGTGTGTGTGTGTGCGGATATAAATTTTCGTCGACGATTTCGAGAACATGGATTTAAATATTTCAGATATCATTAGAATAGTATTGATAAGGAGACTTGCTGATTAGTCTTTGGCAAAGGCAGGTCTAGCCATTTCCAAGAGACAGAGCAAAAAGTGTGAAAATGGTGATACAGTTTTTGAGAGAACGGAGCGCCCGTTTAGAATAATTTAAAAAACATTTTACTTGATATGAACAACTGGTGAAATATTTGGAAAGGCAGGTCCAAAGTTTTCGGAGATCCAATGAAAAAAAGAAGAAAATAATGCCATTTGACGATAAAGAGATATTTTATATAGATTTTAATGATAATTATGAATTTTGTTTACATTTCTATGTGTTCCGAATCAATGTTTATGCGATGCGACGCTTACGCGCTTCGATATTTTTTCTCTAAAACAGCCACGCAGTATGATAGCTTTGAAAAAAAGTTCAAAATTTTTAGAAAAATTCAAAGTATAACAAAAAATTCATTTTTTTCAAAAAAGTCAGATTTTATAAAAACTTTCAAAATTCACACAAATATCATTTTTTTCAAAGTTTTCAAAATATTTCGAAGGTTTTTGAAAAATTTTAATTTTTGGTACGGAAAGTTCCAGCAATTTGCCTTAAAGCACGATGCCGTGCACCACTACTTTGTTACTATCTTTAACCAGTAACATTTTCTTGAAATTTAGTGCAACAAACACTGTTTCGTAAATACCACCAAGAGGCCACGACCCTTCGGTTATCGACCCCTGATATTTTCGATATAAAATTATAGACAACCCCGTTCGGCTGAGCGATATAGTAATTAAGGGCACATGTCATTTTTATTGTTGAAACAAGTGGAATACTGGAAATGCGACACAGACATTATCGTTCCGTACGTTTTTTTTTCGTACTAAGCTTTTACCATAAAAACTGATCTTTTTAATAGATAAATATGTATGTCGCTTTATGGCAATTTTATTACAATAGGTGACTGTGGAAAATATTAAAATTAGTCATACATATACATACAAACATACACCATAATAAGGTGGAGTAGGCGCGGGTAAAAAGATCCACCACCGATATCTAAAAATCAGTAATGTTAAGAATTTTTGAACAACAATATTTGAAAGTAAAAGGAAAAAGATCAGACACCACCTTGATTCTTACGACGTTGCTATTAGAAGAAAAAAAACAATGTTCAAAAATCCATAACAAAAATATTTTTTGATGTTATTTGATTTGATTGTGAGCACTGTTTTTTAGTTCTCCAAACCTTAATATAATTTATAAGTCTACGTTATTTAATTGTTTTATAAGATGCATTGTTAATTTTAAGTTAAGTTCAACAAGTTAGTTATTGTTAATTTTAAGTTAGGTAAAAGAGACCAACTAAACCTTTACCCTGCCAGTTTCATTTTTACAAAAATTAAATCTAAGTTTGATTCGCCTCAGAAAATTAGTATATCAGATTGCTTTAATTGTGAACATTTTTATACCGGAGAAACTAGGCAAAACCTGAGTAAAACAGGTTCCTTCATGTTAATCGCATAAAAATACTTGAAGTCATAATATAGATTTTTTCAACCCAAAAATTTTACATTTTAAAGAGAACGTAAGTAAAAGAATATTCCCTGAGAGGTTGTTTTTTGCAATTGCATAAGGATAGGGTCATAGACAAGCGATTTGAAAACAAGGCCTTGCCGAAACAAATACGTGGTTCCTAAATAGCGTGTCAAAATTTCTTAAAAAATGACTAGATCCCATCGCTTTTTAGATTTCTCATAGAATTTGAATATATATTAAGAACTGCTTTAAGAAACAAAACCGTGACACTTCTATCTTAGACTCCAAATAGTCAATACATAGTTTTGACAACTTATTAAAAGTTATTCATATTTATTTGTGTGTTTTGCCATTTGGGATGTTAAAAATATATATTTTACCACGGAGCACATACTCATACCATGGAGTAATAATGTTTTCATCTATTATATTGGGATACAAAATTGTAAGTGTTTTAATAATAATATATTTTAATATATATATATATATATATATATATATACGAGGTCTGTTCAAAAAGTTTTCGTAATTTTCGTTTTTTCAAAAAAATATTTATTTATTCGTCTACATTAATGTGGTCCCCTTCAAAGTAGTCCCCCCCAGATATAATACACTTATGCCAGCGTTTTTTCCAATTTTCGAAGCACCCTTGATATTCACTTTTTGATATGTCCTTGAGCACTCTCGCCGATTTTCTTCAATCGAGGAAAACCGCCGTCCTTTCATGGGTCTCTTCAACTTTGGGAATAGGAAAAAGTCACACGGAGCCATATCTGGTGAATTTTTGCACTTTGCAACACTTTATTTCATTTTTTACGCAAAATTTAATACAAATTCTTTGACTTTTTCAATTCTTCCATTGTAAAAATCGCCGAGCTCAGAAAAACACGTCGAACCTTAGCGACTACCACAGGCAAAGTAAACAGTGAATATAGCTGAAAATTTTATCATACTTTAGGGGCATGTATACCAACACAATAAAAAAAAAATTTTGACAATCAGACACTCCAGACCCGCGAAATTTAATTATTAGTAATTCCGGGTACTTTTTGAACAGACCATGTATATATATATATATATATATATATATATATATATATATATATAGATAAGGTTTTTGTTAACCTTTTAGTTCACTCTATAAATTACCTGAACTGCAGAAAGTGTAATTATTTCTCCAAATCGAATTCAAATAAATTTTCTAAGAAAACTTTCACCAACGTTATTTTGATGAATAATATATAAAGTGTCAGACCAAAATAACATTACTTGCTGTCCATACGTGTTTTATGTAAAAGCTATTTATCGATTTGGTTTTCCATTAGACATTCTGGTAAACATAATGGTTGTTAATAAAAAGTAAAGGACTGCGTTTAATCTGAAATAGAACTGTTTAAACCGAATTTAGGCAAATTGATTTGGTAACACACATAGGTCAAGTGAGATTTATTTTAGAGAATGTCAGGTAGGTTACATCACGTCTAAGTATTATGTAGACTAACTTTCTGGTAATTTATTTAATGAAATAAAAATAACGTTACCATAATATTTCTATTTTACCAGAGAATTGGACCATTTTTTTACCATTTTCACAAATAATCAAAATTATTGCAAATATTATAAATCACAAATTAACACTAATATAAGTTTCATTTTTTAAAAATAAAACTTACCATCATCATTGTGTTTCCCTACAGGTCTAGGTGATTCGATTTCTGGGATCTCTGCTTCACCAGGATGGTCTGCAAAAAAATCAAATCAATTAAATTTTTGAAATATACACAATTATTTATTGCATAGTAAACAAGATTAAAAAGTCATATGATTAATTATGCAAAGCTTAAGTTTTTTAAAAAAAGAATTCTTCCGATAATGTGATACAATTGCCTTGCTGATCATTCTTCATATTATGTGTGAATTAAAATAAATATTTTTACTAATTAATATAAATCATTTGTTTCAATAGCGAAAATGACCATATACAATTTTTAAATATTTAAAAAAATTATTATAGAAATTCGACTAATTAGTATATCTCAAGAAAAATAGGAGTATATCTCACGAATGTGATCCTTTCCACTTGCGTATTGCAAAACTTATATGTATGGGCGAGTGGAAAGGGTTAATATAACGATACAAAACCAAAAAAAAAAAAAAAATCACACAAAACCATTTGTAGTACATTTAGGATTGTAACTTAAAAATACAACAATACTAATGCCTATCTCATTTCTGCACATGTTTGTTAAAAATATCTATATGTTGGCATAATGTGACCAGTTGTATGGTGACAAATATACAATGTGCACTTTTAAATGAGAGCCCCACAATTAGCTGGTTAGAAAATAAATACTCAGAAAAAATGGTAATAAAATTGCGAAGTAAATACCTCTGAAAAGCGAAATACCTAAATAATAATGAGCAGAATGAAGTCTTGCATCCAAGGCTCCTCGATCTGCTCCTGCTTTTAATAAAGTCGTCATGGCAGCTGAAGGATCTTTACACGATCCACAATAATGCAGAGGTGTTCGTCCTTCCTGTGATATGTATTAATATTATATATTTATATGTACATTTTCTATAATTACATTATTCTTACTTTGTCTTTACTATGCACAGTGGCAGGATATGTTTCGACCAGCCACTCCACAATATCAGGAAAGTCATAATACACCGCCTTATGCAGCAAACTGACTCCATTGGAATCTTTACATAAAACTAATTTTTTTCTTTGATTGTCTCCTTCAAGTAAATCCTGCAAGAAATATTAGCAAGTTTTCTAAATTAATAGAATATTAAAAATTATAATTGAAGCATATGAGTAGGTAAAGGCTTTTGTCTCTAAAGTCGTTGGACTTGGTAATATAAATTAAAAAATCAAATTTATTAATGCAATTTAATGATTGATCTAACTGTCGATTTGCAGATATCAATATTTTGTACTATTATCTTATTCTATAATAAACCACATTCATGTGTACCTCACATCTCTATATACAAATGAAGCTATTTGACAGTAATTGTGAAAAAAAACTATCATTTTTAATGCAATATATTTTTCACTTTGGCAAAGCATTTTAATTCTAGGATCAGAAAATTGTTGCTATGTGTATAAACAGAATGGTATTGAAATTTATTTAAGATATACTATTATAACCAATTTATAAATATTGATATAAAAAAATACAATAAATAGTTGTTTTTAATTCACCTGAAGTTCCGTCAAAGAACCAGCCCTGACAGCATCATGGAGTTTCGATGCCCTGGCTTGGAATCCAGGAATCTGCTTCAGATACGCCCTCGTCCTGGCATCAGGAGAATACTCACCGACCAGGCGAGATCCTTCACCATTTAGTACTAACTGCTCAAGAGATGGAATATCTCCATTCCTCAGCCATTGCCTAATTTGTCCTGAAGACGTAATGTTGGATACTCCTCCCGTTGATCCACTTAATGTCACGGCTGAAATAGAAAAAAATATTAGTAAAACATAAAAAATGGTATTAGCTTTTGAATGCATTTAGGCGAATTGCATTATTCTTTGAAAAAAAAAATGTATGAAGATAAAATATTGCTTCATTTCCCAAACTATTGAAAATGGGGATGAGTTGAGGCAACTAAACGTTTCAGTTGTATGTTTTTTTAAAATATTTTGTAACTATATATATTTATCAGAAGTATGTTTGGGAATTGTAAACAGATTCTTCATATGATAATATATGGAAAAGTTAGTATAGATTTTGGAAAAATGTGACAAGTAAAAAACAAGTTTTATATTGGGGAAAGATATGTATCGGTTTTTACTGAATAATATCACAATGAGTGTTATTATTTTAATATAAATGATTTGTAATTATTTTTGGCAGATATTTGCAATTATTGTATTTGAGTTGGTAATTTTCATTGACTAGCAATTAAACTGAACGATTATTCCAATACCTAAATCTGCTACATTTGTACCATGAAAATGGGAGAGTTTATTAATGTGGAATTCGAAATTGATGTAGTTATTAAATTATTAATAATTTACTACATCAACCTAAGAAATTAAACTTTGAACTAAAACAAAACTAGTTCATATTAAAGATAATAAAGAAAATAAAATTGTCCGTGACATAGAGTGATAATAATTTCAAAAAAAACTCCAAATTATTGATCAAGATAGGATTGATGAAACGATCAGTTTTTCCCTATTTCTGTTACTGATTTAGTTACTATTTCTGAGAAAAATGCTGTTAAAGATTTATTTTTCGCTTGCACTAAAATCCAGTCCAAGTCATATCTGTTTTTGCAATAATTATAGTGTTATAACCACCTTTATTAAGATTATGATATTTTAGGATGTTCGTTTAGTCACTAAACTAAACGCATATATCTTCAATTTCGTTAAAAACGTCAATTTTTTCTTAACATTTAATTACGAAAGAATGGCCCGACCGATCTCTTCTAAAAACAAATGGACACTATTCTCAAATGAAGTTTTTCACAAGGTTTTCAAAATTTTCAAAATCGGTTCATGATTTTTTATTAAAACGTGGACAAATTTGATTCTTTTGGAGGAACAGCTCGGCCTATTGTCGCTAGTCCTTATCGAGTTTCATCGAATGACCTCTAAATTTTTAAAATCGGTTTAGCCGTTTTTGAGAAAACATAGACAAAACGTAAAAAATCAGAAAATATACACACATATTTCAATTTTGCTGAAATAAAAACGTACTAGTGGTGCATGACTTCGTGTCTTGAGGCTACTTGCTGAAACTTCCCGGATCGTAATCTAAAATTTGTAAAAGCTCAAAAAAGAAAAATCAGAATCTTTTTGGAAATTTAGAAAATTTAGAATTTTTGAATATTGAAAAAATTAAAAAAAATATCCTTGAAAATATGATTTTGTTTTGTAAATTTTTGATATACTGATATTTTCTGAAAACTGAAATTTTTAACTTCCCGTCGGGTAAGTTATTGTAATCGTCCAAAAATCGAAATTGAAAATTTTTTTCGAAATTGAAAATTTCTTCACGTTTTGAAGGTTTCTGGACATTTTGACATACTTCAGAAAAATTGATGTGTGTGTATGTGTGTATGTATACAATTTTTTGTCCACGTTTTCGGGCGCACGGATCAACCGATTTGAATAGTTAAAAAAACATTCGATTTTTATTGAAAGGGAGATGTGCTGATTAGTTTTTGGTCAAAGTTGGTTGGTGAAGATATGCAAAAATTTTCAATTTTGATTTTTGGACGATTACAATAGCTTTATCCTACGGGAAGTTAATTAGTACTTCGGATTTTCTTACAAAATCACAATATGTACCCTTCTTCGGTAAGTTAATTACAACATGTCTACTGTCAATCTATAGCATTAAAGTACATAAGAATAAACTAATTATCCAATGTTACGAGTCAAACATCGGAGTTTTTCATTAAACCGATAACTTTGAAATATTCATGATCGGAAAATGCGCAACGACCTCTAGCTGGGTACCATTCCTGATCAATTATTCATGTTTTTCCGATCGTTACTTCTTGGATGTATCGACTATTGAGTCCAGCAGTCCAGTATCAAGGACTATGTAATTACACATTAAAATTCAATCATTCTTTAATGAAGGTCGCGAATGCTCCACTTTCCAGATACAAAAGGAATGAGAGCATTGTGAAACAAATTAGAACGAATTTTTGATTTCACGATATATTAAGTTTTGCCCAGAAGTTGAAATCGATAAGTTATTAATTTTTCATATCTCAGAGAACTTTGGAACATTTTGACATATCTAAACTATGTGTACGAAGGTAAGGTACGTGCCAATTTGAAATCCACAAAATTATACAAACGTAGATTAACTTCCCGAAAGAGAAGTTTATGTTTATTTGCTAATTTCATGTTTTCTCGACGTTTCAAGCCATTCTGAATCGAATGAGACTAAATTTGGAAAAAGTATGTGTGTGTGTGCGTGTGTGTGAACAGATTATTTGCGATAAATCGACGTTGTCTTAAAAACGGCTGCACCGATTTCAAAAACTTAAAAGCCATTCGATGTATCTCGATGAGGACTATCGTTTGTCAGTTTTGTGCGACGATCGGCCAAGACATTTCTTTATAAATAGCAGAAAAGTGAAAAAAATTTCGTCCATGTTTTAGCCCGCAATTCTGAATCGATTATGAAAATTAACAAACCGTTCGAAAGATATTGGTTGGGAATCGTGCTGATTAGTTATTGGTAAAGATCGGCCGGGCCGTTTTCTTGTAATGAAGTGTTAAAAAAAAATTCGACGATTTCTATAATTTTTTTGACGGTAGATACCATAGTCTTATAGATCTTACTAAAATATTACACCCTACGACAAGTCGTTCAATTTAAAAAATTCATCAAAGTTTGCAAAAATCAGTATCGTTTTTTTGGCGTTTGTTAAAACTAGAATTTTCATCGACGTTGTCTCAAAAACGCCTGAACCGATTTCTGTAAAATTTAGAAGCCATTCGCTGTATCTCGATGAGGACTTTCTCAGTTTTGTGCGACGATCCGCTGAGCCGTTTCATTGTAATTCGCAAAAAAGTGTAAAACCCTTTGTCCACGTTTCAGCTCTCAATTCCGAATCGATTTTAAAAAATCAAGAACTGTTCAAAAAATATTAGTTGGGAAAGATACTGACTAGTTTTAGGTAAAAATCTACTGAAGCTTTTTCTTGTAATTAACTGCTCAAAAAATTATTTTGTCTATTTTTATGAAACGTTTTGTCACGGTAGATATCATCAGTAGATTATAGAACATAATGAAATATTACGGGCTTGCGGCAAGTAGTTTAATTTTAGTTTAATTTTAAAAATTCATCAAAGTTTGAGAAAATATTATAGTCAAAATTTGTGTCAACTAGCTGTAAGTGGAATTCTGTCTTAAAGCAATTAGGGCATCGTGCCTTAAGGCAAATTGCCGGAACTTCCCGTAGCAAAAATTATTGTTTTTTTTTTTAAAAAATTTAAAAAAAAAAAAGATTTTTCATTTTGACATATTTTGGAAATTTTGAACTTTTTTTCAAAGCAATCGCACTGCTTGAACTGCATAAAGACGAAATGTCAAAGCTCGCAAGTGCCGCGCCGCCGTCTCACGCATAAGCATTGGTACGGAACCCATAGAAATGTAAAAAATATTAATACTTATTGTTAAAATCTCTATAAAATATCTGATAATTTGATGTGCATATGTCTAATGATCATTTTTAACCGCCCAATGGCATTTTTTTTTACTTTTTTCATTAGATCTCCGAAACCGCTAGACCTGCCTACATAAAAATTTGATCAATTCTACAACTTGTCAATACAAGTAAAATGTTTTTTGAATTATTCAAATCGGACGCTCCGTTCTCTCAAACACGAAGGTACCGTTTTTGGCACTTTTTGCCCCGTATCTTCGGAACGGCTAGACTTGCCTTCGCCAAAAACTAATCAGCACGTCTCCTTATCAATACGAATCGAATGTTTTTTTAATTATTCAAATCGGTTGGTCCGTGTTCCCGAAATCGTCGACGAAAATTTGTATCCGCACATACATACACACACGTACATACATACATACATACATACATACATACATACATACATACACACACACACACACACGTACATCCATTTTGTCTAAGGTATGCCAAAATGTTCAGAAACCTCTGAAACGTAAAGATATATAAAAATTTTCATTTTCGATTTTTTTGCGATTACTATAACTTGCCCTACGGAAAGTTAAAAATTGCTTCTGTGATGTGATGAGTCAAACATTATCAATTCATAAAAATTTGAATTAATAAGCTATAATTTTAGAGCATAAGCACGTGTCTGTGCAATATAACTACAGTTAATTTAAACATGTTTGAGAAAATTTAATTAGAAAACGCATTGTTAGGATTTAATTGAAAGCGAAAACTTGATTTTCGAAATAAACAGTTGAAAATTTTATCTGAATAAATAAATCCCAATTTTGATTAATTTAGTCAATTAGTACACCCATCGGGAAGTTTTTGCAACAAGTTAGGATTCAATAACTTTTAAACCAAAACTTCGGATCAGTCGAATTTTTGGTTTTATGCCAATGCAAAATAGTTAAAATATTCACAACATTTGAGATATTTGTATCAAATATTTTTTTATAGAAGACCAATAGAGCATAACCTATCCTGATAAATAATAATTAATTAAAGACATTTTTCTAAGTTTATGCTAAAAGATACAGAACTGATTCTATATTTGAAACAATATGATATAATGTCAATTAAATGTACAAAATACTGGTTTTTGAAAAAGATCTGATCAGCCGATTCCTAGTTAACAATTAATAACAAACCATAGGTTAATAATATATAATATAGGTTGATAATATCCAAAGGTTGTAGAAATGACAAACATTTCATGGCTGTAAATACAAAATAAAAATTTTTAGTATTTTTAATCAGTAATTATTTTTTTCAAAAATGTT